ATCGTGGACGCAACGCTCGAGCCCATACTGAACCCGTCCCTCCTCTGTGCAGCCGGCCGGCCCGCGCGCCCGCCGTTCCCGTGCAGCCAGCCGGCCCGCGCTGCCCGGCATCGGAAAGGTTGTTCCACTCTGGAGCTCTGGCGCCCGCGACCCGTAGACTGACCCCAAGCCCGCCCCCCAGACCGCATTGGAAGAATCACGGGACCCATCGGGAAGGACCGCAGGTCGTGACCTTGCACGATGTCCACGCGTGCTTACGCGAGCAGCCACGCAAAAGCGGAACCCACGGAGATTGTCCTAGCGGTCGTCCTGACGCCCATTGAGCCTGACGACAAACCCTCCTTGATCATCCCTTCACGCCCTCCATGGCCCACGCACGGCCCGAAACTGCGCAGAAAGACGAAGGAGAGCGGAGAAAGCAGGAAGGACGAGGCTCTCGAGGATTGTCCAGAGGCGAGCCTGAGGCACCCCGGTGCCCCCAGGGGCGGGCCCGAGTAAAAAAAGTGGGAGTATCGAAAAAGCGCGTTGTTGTCGGAGGGCCGGTTTCAGCGAGACCCCGAAACGCCTGGGCGTGAGTTTCGATATCAAAGTAAATGCAGCCGGCGCCTGGGCGAAAGCCCGAGGGCGTATTGAGGGGGGCCAACAACGACAATGATATTTGTTTAGGAATGAAAGCTCAACAGGGACTCCTCTGGAAGCCCTCCAGGGGTGTTGCCGCCACGAGGGCCGCAGTCTTCAGTAAAAACTGCGGCATTGTCACGCGAAGGTGCCGTGGTTGTAGGGGGCGGGACGTTCGCGGCGCCGAGGCGAAAGCGCCGATCCTGAGTAGAAGAAAGTATCGAACGGGAACGCTGGTTTGGTGGGACCGGCATTCGGCGGCGAGCAAGAGCACCTGGCCTGAGTCAAAAAAGGGCGACGTATCGAACGGGAGCGGTGGTATGGGCTTTCGGCAGCAAGGCGAGATCGCCAATCTTGAATAAAAAGCGTGGAAATATCGATCGGAACACAGGTTTGGTGGGAATGCCAGCTTTCGGAGGCGAACAAGAGCAGCGGGGCTAAGTAAAACAAGACCAATATCGAACGGACCCGCTGGTTTGCTGGGGAAGCCGGCTTTCGGCGGCGAGCAAGAGCACCGTACCTGAGTAGACAAGGAGGAAATATCGAGTGGGAGCAGGAGGAGCGAAGATTCGGAAGGAGGAGGAGGAGGAGGAGGAGGAGGAGGAGGAGGGGGAGGAGGAGGAGGAGGAGTAGGAGGATGAGGAGGAGGAGGAAAGAGGAGGAGGAGGAGGGGGAGGAGGAGGAGGGAAGGAGGGAGGAAGGAGGGAGGAGGAGGGAGGAGGAGGAGGAGGGGAGGAGGGGAGCAAACGGGCCCGACGCGGCGGAGCCGCGTCGGGCCCTCAGTCTTGAGTAAACGGCCCTCAGTCTTGAGTAAAGGGTCCGGCCGTAGCACGCGCGGCGGCCGCGCGACGGGCGACCCGAGATCGCGACAGGCGACCGGGGGCGCCGAGGCGACCGAGCGCGGAGCCCTGCCGACCGGAGGGCCCCCAGTCTTGAGTAAATGGTGAGGGCTCTCGGCGGCGAGCAAGAGCATCGAGCCCGAGTAAAAAAGGAGGAAGTCTCGAGCCGGAGCGTTGTTGTTGTTGGGGGGCCGGTTTTGGCGGAACCCCAAAACGCCTGAGCGTGAGCCTCAATTTCAGAGGAAATGCAGCCGGCGCCTCGGCGAGAGCGCCAGGGCGAATATAGGGGGTCCAACAATAATAATTGTTTAGTAATTGAGGTTCAACAACAACAACAACAACAACAACAACAACAACAACAACAACAACAACAACAACAACAACAACAACAGACAACACCAAACAACAACAAACAACAACAACGAGAATCCGCACCGCGGAACTCCACTCCAGCCACGCACCCAGGGACAGTGAATGACCGTTCGGCCCCCTCACTCTGACCTTGCTAGAATCAGGACGCCATCAAGGTATAGAGGGGAGTCATGTCCAAATGTTTCAATAGCGAACGAGTGGGAGGAGGAGAAAAGGGAGGGCGGGGAGGAGGACGGCGAGGATGATCGGCACAGAAAAAGGGGTGTCCGCTGTGCGTTCGATTCGGCTGCTTTTTAGTCGGATGTGTTCGGTGGGTTTGGTTCGGCCGGTTGTTGTGTCGTTGTTGCGTCACTTCGGCCTTCTTCCACAGTTTGCGGCCTGTCGGTTTAGATCGTTGTCGGTTTCGCTGGCGTTCCGGCCGATGTTTGCGTCTGTTGTCGCCGTGGACGCTGTGCACAGCGTCCGTGGACAGCCTCCTTCTCCACGGGCTTGCCATCCTGGTTTCCGCACGGCGTCCCGCCCCGTGCACCTGCTCGTCCTACCGCGAGCCCAGCCTGTGTCTCGGTGTAAGGGGGCAGGCGCCGCGAGCGTTTCGGCCAGGCGGCACGTGTCGACAGCGGGTCGGGAAAGCGGGTGCACCGCGTCGAAGAGAACGTACCGAGCCAGGCGTCGGACACGTTGATCAACCGTGGCGAGACTTGCATTTACCTGTGTTCTCGGCCTCTGGTGCCCTTGCCGATCTTTGGGACAGTCCAAAACACGACCCAGGACGAAAAGCTAGCCCTGGGGAAAGGGTCGGGATGGCTGAGGATTCCACATTGAAACTATCAAGCCGTGGGATCTGGTTGTGGGTCATTCCAGGATGAGGCCTCGGCCCCGAGAGGACCAGAAACGGGCGTCTCCTGTCTCTTCCCTGGCCTCAGGAGCCAGGCAGCAAGACGGCGGCCGTCGGACGGAGCTGAGACGAGGACAACTCAGTTCCACAGCGTTCCAAAACTCTCTCGGAGCGTTCCGGAACGCTCTGAGAAGGCCGCGGCGCCCGAGACATCCTCCAGAGCCAACGGACCGACGGATCTCAGAAATTTCTAACCTAGTCTTGTCTTCGTCGTACGCAGGACCTCGCCTGCAAGGGATCTCGAAATTGCTTATATATATATATATATATATATATATATGTGTGTACCGTTACGTCTATGCATTGTTGTTTTTGTTGTATGCTTGTCTATGCATATGCATATACATATATATATATATGTCTACATGTGTGTTTTATGTTTGGTGGTAGCCGAAAACAGCGGGATAATCACCCCTGCTTCTTAGAAGGCGCGGTCCGTATCATAGATGTAAATCGGAGGGAGGAGAAGCGATACCAACACCACCAGGGGGCCCACCTCCAGCGAGGAGGTCCACAATGCCTCCGAGAGCGGGAGACTGGGGATGTCTCGAGCGAGAGGGGGGGACCACACCACCAGAGAGACCCCCCTTGCCTCCGCGCATCTCCTCGCCCTGTTGGTGTTGGTGTCGCCTTTCCTTGTTCCTATTAAGGCCGGCGCCTTCTAAGAAGCAGCCTCCTTCTAAGAAGCCATCCCACCTCCCTCCACCCCCTTGTGCGCACCGCCCAAGTTACTTGAGGGGGGGCTTGGGGGGGGCTTCGGGGCTTCGGGGCCACTCGAAGGAGACAAAAGAACCGCGCAAACAGATGTTCGACGGTCCGCGAGGATTTCTTGGATCTGCGCTTGAGCGCCTTGGCGGAGCCTCCGGCGCCGCCCCTAGCTCGCTCCGCCGAGGCGTTTTTTTGTTTCGTCCTACGACTGGCGCGCGCCAGCGAGGGGGGTCCAACGCAGAACCAGGAAATCCGCGCGGACCGTCGAAAGTTCATGCCAATTCTACGTGTTCTTCCTCTAACCGCGTGTCTTCTTTTCTGTTTCGAAGTGAACCCCACCCTCCCCCTCAGAAATCGTGGGGGGTAGGGGTGGGGTTCGCATGTGCTCCCCCTAGAGATTCAGGGGCTCTGGCCCGTTCCTCGTCCCGCGTTCCTTCCAGCAGCAGCCTGACTGCATCCCTACCTCCTCTCGTGCTCCTTGCTCCTCTCATGCATCCCCGAAGTCACACCCGCTCCGTCCAGACTCTTTCCAGCCTGTGTGGTTCTCCCTCCTCCCCCGCCTCCCCTGTCCATCCCCACCCACCAAGCCATCCCAGCCCAAACCGAAGGCCTCAATGTGCCCTCCATTTTCCGGTGGAAGAGGGGTCGGCGAACAGTGAACAAAAACACATGGATCCCGTTCCCCCCCCAAACCAGACATTCGGATTCTCGGGTTAGGTTGGGGTGGTGTGGTAGGTAGTCTTTTCAGTAGACGCGATGCTTACCAGCAGTGTGCCCCCAGATGCACAGGAGCGACGCAAAGATACGAGTTCGATAGCGCCGACATCCGCGCGCAAGTTGCCTGCGTAAGGCCGCGCGTAAGCGCTTTCGTCTCCAATGCTGCGTGCCGCGCTGGCGGGTCGCGTAAGCCGCGGCGTGAGATCGCCATGCCACCTCGCGTAAGACCCCCCATCTGCTGCTGCAGATCTTGACAGACGAGTTTCGGTGCCACCTTGCCCAGCCTTCGCAGCGTCCGACGTTCGATGTCCGCACCCGCGCCGTCGACTTCGGATCCAGAGGCCGCCGCCTCAAGGCCGCCAGCCCCTCATCGGATTCGGGCGAATTGGTCTTTTCCCAAGGAGTTCTTAAACATGTGCGCGATGATCGTGCAATCGTTCGTGCAGGATACGCACGTTGTGCAGTCTCAGCGCGTGGCTGCCACGCGCCAGGCGCCACAGGACGGAAAATGGTAGCCAACCCCATTACGAAAGACTCGGGGGTGGACAGAAAGAAGACCCACCTTGACACGTCGATTAGTGAATCGTCCGTCTTCGGTTCTCGAGAGGGCACCGCGGCCATCATTTTCCAGGCTTGGCCGTTTTCCACTGGACCACGTTTTACTTAAGGGGGTTCTGTCCATCCCCGAAAGACACCCTTTCTGCCCAGAACTAACCTTAAGTCGGGCCTGTCCCTCTTCAGGGGGACAATTGTTTATATGTTAGACTATGCTTGCATATGTTTTGCGTACGTTCTATGTTTCGTATTTGTAGGGGGACATGCCCGACCTAAGATTAACCTCTGTAGCGCAGGAGATGGTCTTCCAGATGGTGTCCCCGCGCATCCTCGGGAACAACCAGGCTCCCCGCGCTCGCTCGGGCCGCCGCGCCTCCCAGCCCTCTTGCCTCCAGGCACGTCCCGAGTGGAGCCGAGCTGGGCGGGGATCGCCGATGGATTGGCGGTGCGGTGTGATGCTTCTTCTTTCCCAGAGGAGGATGACAGGGAAACGAAGAATGTCATAAACATCACAATTCGGAGGTCCGTGCGGATTTCTCGGATCGGCGCTGGACTTTCCTTCGGGGCGTCGCAGAGCGCGCCTGGGGCGGCGCTGGCGGCCCGGATCGGCGCGGGAGCGGCGGTCTTGGCACGATTTGGTGCATACCTCCTCGCTCTGTTCGGGTCTGCAGCCGTGCCAATCTTGGGTGGCCCCGTGCCGCTGCCTCGCCGACGGGTCCTGGCGAGGACCCAGCCATGATGTGAGTACCGCCATGGTGAGGACCGCCTCCGGTGGAGCACCCAACGGGGCCACGAAACGCGGGAAGGGAGCGCGGGAGCTGGGCGGGGCCGCCACGCGGGCGCTGTCGCTGGGGCCACCCGCAGGAGGCGCGGATGTCCGACGAAACGGGTTACATGCTAACCCGTTGCGGCTGACAGGCGCCGGAAGAAGCGAGAGACAACATGCGGGCGCAGCCTCTGGGGCCTGAGGTGGAGCTCCCTGTGTGGGGCCACGAAACGTGTGAGGGGTGGCAAAGTGAGAGGAGTGGCGGCAGGAAGGGCGCAGCCACTGAGGCCTAAGGTGGAGCTCCCTATGGGGCCACGAAACGTGTGAGGGGTGTGCCAACGCGAGGGGGGTGGTGGCATGCGAACGCAGCCATGGGGCCTAGGGTGGACTTCCCTATGGGGTCATGGCACGTGTGAGGGCTGCGCCAGAGGGGTTGCGGCACGCGAGCGCAGCCCTTGGGGCCTTAGGTGGAGCGCCCTATGGGGCGATGACGCGTGTGATGAGATGCCAAAGTGAGGGGAATGGCGGCATGAAGGGCGCAGCCATTGGGGCATTAGGTGGAACCCCCTTCGGGAGCCACGAAACATGTGAGGTGTGTGCCAAAGTGAAGGCTTGGCGGAAGGAAGGGCGCAGCCACTGGGGCCTAAGGTGGAGCTCCCTATGGGGCCACGAAGCGTGTGAGGAGAGCGCCAAAGTGAGAGAGGTTGCGGCACGCGAGCGCAGCCATTGGGGCCTAAGGTGGAGCTCCCTATGGGGCGACGAAGCGTGACGTGCGAGGAGTGTTCCAAAGTGAAGGGGGGGGGGGCGGCATGCGGGCGCAGCCACTGGGGCCGTAGGTGGAGCGCCCTATGGGGCGACGACACATGTGAAGGGTGTGCCAGAGGAAGGGGAATGGCGGCAGGAAGGGTGCCGTAGGCGGAGCGCCCTATGGGGCCACGAAACGTGTGAGGGGTGTGCCAACGTGAGGGTGGTGGTGGCATGCGAACGCAGCCAATGGGGCCTGAGGTGGAGCTTCTTATGGGGCCTCGAAAGTGTGAGGGGGTGTGCCGATTTGAGAAGGTGACGGGAGAAGGGGGAGAGGATGAGAGGAGACGCGGGGGCTGTCTCTTCAAAGCGGGAGCCCAACTTAACACAGGATGGTTGGGACATACACAAACATAATTTCTCGGAGTTCCTTGCGGATTTCTTGGATCGGCGCTGCCCCCCCGGCGGGGCCTCCGATAATTTATGTTTATGCAGTTTGGGGTTCCTCGAGATGGGTCCTTCCTCCTCCACCTTCTTCGGTCTACCGTCGACGATCGCCGACGACAATTGACGACAACGAACAACAACGTTGACGATCGACGACGACGCCGACCGACGACGACGACCGACGACGACGACGCCGTCGAAACCGACTACGGCGACGATCGCTGTCTAGCAGCGACCGATGGCCGTGCCCTCTTTGGGTGGCACCTGTTGTCGCTCAATCGGGCTGGGGATGGCCAACCCGGTCCTGTCCCTGCTTCGTGCGAGAGGTGCCAACGCGTCTCGTCGCCACGGGGGAGGAGGAGGAGGAGGAGGAGGAGGAGGAGGAGGAAAAGAAGGAGAAGGAGGAGGAGGGGAGGGAAGAGGGAGAGGGACGGCGTGGAGCAGGAAGAAGGGAGAGGACGGTAAAAGATATAACAGGTGGGAGGGTGGAGGAGGGTTGCCATGGGGGAGGCGGATCCTGAGGGAAAGGGGTCCTGATATTTTTCGCCGTTTTCGGGCTCCCGGAGGGGCCCTCCAAGGGCCCCGGGACTGGCAGAACGCGACTCAGGATGAAGAGCTCGTCCTGGGGGAAGACCCCAGGGTCCAGGACTCGTTTGCCTCAGGACCCGTATCCAACATGCTAATCTCTGCAATGTGGGTACCCCATGCCTTGGTTAAGGCGCAAAGTAGGGACGAGCAATTTTCCAAGGCTAACCTTGCATCCTTCCCCTTCGGCCCATCCTTGGCGTCTTTCGCTGGCCCACCCCGCTCGACAACGCCAACATGGCCCTCGAAGACCCTTGCATTCTTGCCGCGCATGTGTATTATGCATTTTGGTTGTAGTGCGACCCGGAAACGGCAGGGCATTGTTTGTGGTACCATGGTTCACGTTTTTGGATTGTGAACATTGCAAACATGTGTGTTACATAAAAATATCAGATAAACGTGCAACAAAATCGGTCACCGCAACGGCGACGGGATCCGACGTGCGTTCGGAGCCTGTTCTAAAGCGGCTCGGATCCTGTCAAAAAATTGTGATTTCGACCAGGTCCCCACCAGGGGAAACGAAAACAGTAAAACCACGGCTCCGGAAGCGTCAAAATATCTGCGCCGCAAATTGTACACACATTGAAAAACGAATGCGGTAGTAAAACGCCCTGTCGCTTCCATGTCGATCTTCGTCATCGTCTTCCTCCGTAGCCCCCATTTGGCTCAGGCTTGGCTCAAGACTGTGTAGGCGGCGCACTTGTCATCGATCCAGCGGGCCCTGCTGGGGAAGGTCATCGGAAGAAGTCGCGATGGGCAATTGCGCTGAGTCGCCGTCCACAGAGACGAAGGAGGTCGCGACATCTGGAGTCTTTGCCGCTGATGGTGAAGGCTCTGCTGCCGAGCCATCTCCGAGCATCTTCACTGTCAAGTTCGAGAAGGATCCGTCCGACAAGTTCGGCCTCGACGTCAGCCATTCCGTAGACAGGACTCACCTGATGGTCAAGAGAGTCAAGGATGGTCACTTTGAGAGGTGGAACAAGGCGAACCCCGACAAGATGGTCGAGAGCGGCGACATGTTGATCGCAATCGACGATGTCAAGGGCAACTCCGTTAGGATGCTTCAGTTCTTGATGAGAGCCGCGAGTTCCGTAGAGTTCGTTTTTCAGAAGCCAGTGCCACCCTAGGCCCAAAACGACTGAGTTTACCAATTCCGTCCAGTTTCCGCGCTGGCGCTGCCCAATCTCCAGCACGTCTGAGGCTTGAACACTATCCAGCCCTGGCGGCCTCTGTATAGGCGTCGTGCTACGGTGCCCCGCTTCTTGCGCGCCTCGGGAGGAAGTTTCAATGCGTTTGCCTTCTTCCGATGTCCCACTCGGCGCCCCCGAGTTCACTCGGGCGTGGCAGTCTCCAGCTTGTTCGCTACAACGTGGGCGCGCGCCCGCTGCAGGCCCGCTTTCACGAGTGCAAAGAAAAGGTCGAGCAGCCAGAGCAGCACCGCAGTTGGTAGCCACCAGTGGGTGTTGCCTGGAAGGCGGCCGAATATTTCGCATCGGGGAGGGCTTGGGTTCGCCAGGCGGTCAGTGGAGCGAGGCGTTGATCTTCCCCGCCCTCAGATTTGTCTTTTTTGGCTGCGCTCGCACCGCGATGGCTTCAGCATTTTCCCCTCCGCTGGTTGACAGTTGGGCCTCTGCGCAGCCAAAGCCAGCGCAGAAGCAGTGAGCGAGATTTTTCACAAGCGTCCCAGCGTGCGCGGTGGAAAGTGGCTGACAAGCCAACACGGGTCCACGGGGGGGTAACACAAGTGTTGAGTTGGGCGTGCCCCTCTACTGGAAGAGGAATCAAGATTATTCAGAAAACATAATTTTGGGACGAGCGACGAGGACGCCGACGAACGGCGCATTGTAAGATACAGAGTAGACCACGACTTCCGTTGTCATGCGCCGGCAAAGACAACGGTGCGCTCCTCTGCGGCTCCACGCCAACCAGGGCGTCGCCACAGCGCGCCCGCCTCGGCGTTTTCGGGGCTTAGCGGCTGGGCATTTGTGCCCGCGTATTGCAGGCTAGGGCCTCCTCCTCCGCCTTCTCCTGCTCCTCATGGTGTTCTTGCCCCCTCTGTTCCTCAGCCGCGTACGAGTAGATAGCTTTCGTTGTACTGTACGGTGTCCGATTTGCCGCGCAGCGCGTCCCGCACAGGGTCTGCAGGGCAGTCTCGTCAGGAGGCACATGTCTTGCACAGTAAGGAGCTCACACATGGCCCAGCCCATACGTGCCTCTGACCAGTCTGACTTGAATGCGCTCTTCAGCGGTGTGAAAAAGAAACAAAAAAACATAATTTTGGGACGATTTCTCTGTTGTTCCCAACCATCCTGTGGTGTTGGGGCGTCGTTTTGAAGAGACTGTGGGCACGACGGGTTCAGGCGGCCATCGCACGATTATCTGACTAGAATGCTTTTCCACTCAGCGCAGACAGAAATGGCTTGAGCCAAACGATCGGGCACAAAGTGTCTGGAAAACTCTGGGCCCTGAAATATGCATGACAGAAATGCACATAGATGCAGAGAGCACAGAGAAGACTGCATACTCAGGACGAGAGGTAGCCATATGATTCCACAGCTCCCCCCACTTACTGTCGGCCTGACTCCTCGAGCCGCCGATCGCGACCCTGTAGGCAGCGGCAGCTAGCCTCACGACTGCGGCGAGCAGATGAGCCCGCTCGGACTCAGCGTCGCTCAGCGTCAGAGTCCCTCGGCGTATCATGTGACCCATCGCATCGGAACCCTTGAAGACGTTGGCCTTGGTCATCACATCCGTAGGGTTAAGCAAATGAGGAAACCACTTCACGCAAGAGCCTCGCTGGGA